CCAACCTCCAAAATTGAAACAATAAATTTCTGTTGTTTTAAGCTATCCAGTTTGTGGTACTTTGTCACATTACAGCAGCCCTAGGAAACTAACTGCTGTCACAAGTATCTCTAATGCTATGGTTTGTTGGAATTTCCTTCAATTATGAATGTAAACAAGTTTCAATTAGTGATTAGTAAAAACACTCTTAATTCTAAGAACCCTATGTCTGAAGCAATTTAACACCTCAGTCTAAGATCCATTACTAATGATCTATGTTTTAACAAAAATAACGAACTACGTTTAAACAGAAATACATGAACAGATCTTTTTCATTTCAAACCATTCCGAGTGCCACAAAAACATATCAGGGATTTGTAATGACTGGCTCTTGACTCTAAAATGAGATGCAGCTAAGACATAAAACTTGTCATAAATAGTGAATTAAATCTAACTATTAAAGAATGAAAAAATTCATTATCTGTGTTAACTTCTTAAAGTAAGTGTAAAATTATCCCTTCGTCTTAGGTTAATATGATTAGTACGAATAACCAAATGAAAAGACTTACTTTTGACACTTCTTAGCCATTAAGTAAAGCATGAGAGCTGGTCTCTTGTTAGTGTATTCCTTTTAGAACTACTCAAGTTGGTGTTTAAGCCCAATAGCCTTTTGTTCTCTTATTCATCCAGAGGCCATATTTATTTAAAAGAAAAAAAAAAAGAGCAGTACCAAGTTCTCCATCTGTGAGGTATATATATTATCAAAGACATGTGGCTATTAAACCCAAAAAAATAAAACCTTTAAAGATTATGAATGTACCAATTGTCTCCAAATTTTTTATCTTGGCTCTTCAAAATTCATGCTTTTACTTCAGTATCCTACCAGATCTCTACTGGAAGTCTTTCATTTGCTTAAATATGTCAAAAACAACAATATAATAAAATTAATCAAAAAAAGAATTAACAAATACATATGTTACAAGTCTAGTGACTTGTAATGTGCCTATCACTGTATTGTTTTAGGGTCATTTAGTACAGGAAGAGCCTATAATGATGCTTAGTTCAAATTGCTCAAATGAAATGAGCAAACTGAGGCCCAGAGGCTGTACTTGTCCAGAATCACATAATAATTAGTGACAGCTGGGACAAAAAGGCATCTCCCAATTCCAAGTCCAATGCTCTTTACATTACACCATACTACATAAGAATTGGTAAGAGTTAAGTAAATTATCTGCAAAACTTTTGTATGATCACTTTAATCCTATTCGTAATTTAATTCGATATTTAAAAACAGTCTGGTTGCCCAAAACAACCTAACAAGTTTTGGGGTTTTTTAATCAATTTTATTTTACCATCCAGCACATTTTAAAAATAGGAACAAGATCTCATTTCCACCTTCAAAATTGGCAAAAATGTTTTCAAAGAGAACTGGACAGATATTTCAAGACATAAGCACTCTCATGTGAGTTTTCCTTTTCTAGAGGGCAATGTAGCAGAAAGAACAACTTAAAGTTTGCATCTCCTTTAACTCCATTCCTAGAGTATCTTAAGGAAGGAGTAAAAGATTTGGATGAGGACAGAACTCAGGATCAAATGCAGCACCGTTCAGGAATAAAAGATTATCCAACAATACTAGACTGATTAAAACTAATGTATGTTATACACTGAACCATAATGTAGCCATTAAAAACTATGTTCTAGGAAATATTTAATGACATAGGAAAAGGGTCACAATATTTTTGGGTATGAAGTTTCTACTATGCAATTCCACTCTATAAAGAATACATGTATATACATAAAATAATACAGAAAAAATTCATCATAGTGCATGGCACATAGTAAAAATCCAATAAATGAATATGATTCATCCTCAACATCATAGGAGAGGTTTGATTATAGTATATCAAATGTTAAGACTTGTCATGTGAGTAATAGATACACAAATAAATTATTATTACTTACTCCCTTTAAGGACTATTTCGGACATTATCTGAAATTACTACTTTTGCAAGGAGGAAAGTTGTTTTTTTTTTTTTAATGACACTTTAAATCAGTTCCAGTTATTACCGAAGGATGGAAAAGAAAAGTAGACTTTTACCAACCCTTCCTCAAATTTGGCAGTGCATAAGATAAAGTTTTACACATAATAGATTCTTAATTATTGATTAAATATACACTCACAACTTTTGAGAGCTATTTCTCCAAACAGAACTCTAATTTCAAATAATAGAGCATATATTAGAGGATTTCAAAATGAGGCCTCTAAAGGCCTTACTCGATTTTTCCACAATGGTTACCTAGAAAAAGTTAATGGTTTCCCAAAATATTGGTGATTTTCACTCTTTTAAAGGTTGAAATCAGGTGAAAAAACATTTAAGTGTTAAGAACAGTGTCTAATGTAAATAAATTCCTATTGATTATGGCTTCTAGAAAAAGGAGAAAAGAAGGTAGAAAAAAATATATTTAAGGCCCAGATAAAATCCGTATTACAGGGGAGTCTTACAATGCTGAGGCTTTAAGGGTGTCTGCCGTAACATACATATATCTTTTGTTTCTTCATACTATATACAATGATAAGTAATAAACTACTGTTTCAAAACATTAAATATTAAAGATAAGATAAATTATTGGAATAAAAACTACATTCCTAAGAAGTTCACACTTTTTGCTTAGCTAATGTACAATGTTGGCTCTAATAAAACTGATTACCAGATGAACACATCACTTCCTAGAATTAAAAAAAAAAATTTTTTTTACTAAAACCCCCAAGAGTTCTGTCCCCATGAAGTGTTAACATCTCATAAAAAATACATATATGCTAAAACATTTTTTTTCTGTTCTACCAAAACATAACAGAGCCTCTAGGGAATAACTTATTAATAATGCAGGATAAATTTATGAAAACAAAATCCTAAAGGTCTGAGTGAGCGAGGTAATTTCCAAGTTGTCCTATATCAACAACTTTTAATTTTTTTAAATTAAAAAAAAAAAAGGCAACCCTCCCAACTTGCCTTTTGGTGTCTCAGTTATCAACATCTTTGGGATTAAAGTACTGGGAATTTTTACTCATTTTCACTGTAACAGCAGTATCATCCACCAATATCACTACATGAAAAATTTGCATTCTAATCTGTCCATAGCAAGTATTAGAAAAAGAGCCATTTAGAAACAATATATTTTACGCATGTGTCAATTCACATTCCCTCATTTGTTTTTCTATTAGATGCATCCAGAAAGGAAATATTAATATTTTACTTTAAATATGGTAATTAGTCTTTTCCCATCTCTAAAAACAGAATTTGACATTTTGATCCAGGCTACTTTCTTAAAAGATGCCAGCAAAAATTACCGTCCTTCCGTTCAGGATTTTTAGCAGTTTTTCCCCTAACTAAGCGTTATCTGAGATACTTCTTGATCTCTCTCAAAGTAGGTCTAATCTGCGGAAGGCACTGAGACAGTGTACTGCACTGTGAATGGACAGCCAGGTATTTTATGAATGGAGGCGATCACGTGATCCCAGCACCTCCCCGAACTGATATTTCCCACATAACTGTGTCAACATTCTGAGAACAGGGGTAGTTGTTTGTGTGCGTATGTTTTTTAATTTAACCTATAACTTCGAATTCTCCTTACTTCCTGAACTCAAAAATCTACATGAAGACAGACAGTCAAAGCTTTGAATTTTTGTCCTGGGAAATCCTTTCAAAATGTCCAAGGTGATGGATGTTTAATTATTTTTTTATGAATGAAGAGTGTGCTATGCAAATGAGGGCGATTCACAAAAAGAGAGAGAACATGGCGGCCACTTCTGCTTCCAGACTGCACTGACACTGCAGCAATCTACCTTCTCCCACACCCGCTCATCAGAAGAGTGTGTTGGTGGGGGGAGGGGGGGCGGAGGTTCGAGGAGAAACGCTGCTTGGCATTTCTCAAGCTATTTTATGTTAAACAGGCCTAGGCTTTGGATTTTAAAGTTCTCTCAAAAAGGTCTGACTCGAGGAATGCACTTTATTTAAAGGAATGCATCCTAGGACTAGTCCTAACTCTCTTAACTCTTTCCAAACCTCCAAAGATAAACAAAACTTGAACTTAATTACAAGAGAACGGATGCAAATATTCTGCACGGAATTAAATCCGGTCTCAGTAAAAACTGTTACCGCTCCATTATTCTTTCAGGCAGCCGTTACGTTAAAACAAAATATTTAAAAGGCAACGTACTTCGTTTGGAAAACAGCCCAGATAAACAAAAACTTAGGCCAGGACACTCTAGAAGTTAATGAATGAAGTCATCAACATATTCTGCAATGTAAATACTGCTAAATCAACGTAAATGGCGTTTCTCAATACAGCTGAAGGATAATAATTAACACTCAATATTCTGTGCCCCTGATAAAGACATGCCCAGCATTCGCAAAGGTAAAATATAATAGTTCAACGTCTCCCACACTCCAGGTGTCCTTCAAGTTATTAAATTCTAAAAATGTTTCCCTAGTTCCATTTTTTACATGAAGCTTACAGGTCGTAAATTTAAAGGGGGGGCGGGGGCGGTTTAATCGGTATTAAAGAGTCACTGACTCATCGAATTAAGATTCAAGAGCAGTTTGCTGCAGGAGGTGCTCCCACACGTTAGTTTCCAAGTAAAATAGCTATAAAGGAAGCAGAATGGATATTCAGGGTATGCTGACTTACGGTATGCTAAACTGAAAAAGGACAGGCCAGGGGGGTCTTCGAGGCAAAGAGGTAATTTCTACCCCGCCAGCATCCGTCCACATTAGTCCATCTCATTGACGTACAATTGCCATCCCACCCCAACACTCAATACCCTCCCCCAGAAGTAAACCACTAAATGCGGGGGGGGGGCAGTAGAGGGTGCTGCCATTAAATGGCTAAAGAAATCAAATGTTATCTCCAGAACAAGATGCACCGAACTCTCCAAGGCTGCAAGCTTTCCAGCACCCAAGTCTCAGAGGGGTCGGAAGGATGGGGGGGGGGTTACTAATCAAGATCAATGAGGCGCTTACTCGTTGTCAGAAGTCGCCGTCTCCTCGCTCATCTTTCCCTCACCGCGATCCGATCTGGAGATGGAGGAGCAACAGCAGGCGGAGGAGCAGCGGCAGCACCGAGGGGCAGGAGGCAGCGGCGGCCGGGGGGGCGCGGGGGCAGCGGCTCAGGGGCCTCACCATGGTGGATGCCTCACCCGGAACGGTGCCCCCCCAGCCGGGAACCCCGGCCACCCCCGCAGGGGGGTGGCGGCAACAACCTCCGCCGTGGCGACCCCAGCCTCTTCCTCCGCCTCAGCGCCCAGCCAAGGGATCCGAGGAGGCCGGGGAGGGTGGGTGGAAAGGAAAAAGGGAAGAGGGGCTGCGAAGGCTGACTGGAGAGCTGCTCCTCCCGCCACCGGGGTGGAGCGCGGCGGGGTCCGGCCAGGAAGGAGCGGGCGGGCGGAGAACCCGGGAGCAGAGGCGGCGCTTCCCTCAGGGATGCGGCGAGGAGGAAGCAGAGCTGCGTTCGGTGGGGGCCGGCGGGAGGGTGCCGAGCCCAGGCTCCGGGCGGCGGCAGCGCGGTCCTGCCGGAGCCCACCCCACCATCTCCCACCTCGCCGCCGGCTGCCCTCTTAGCGCCCGGAGGCGGCCGGAGCGGTCCTCAGGCACGAGCCGGACCGGGCGAGGGGCCTCGCGGCGGCGGATTCCTCCAGACACGCTCCAGTCGGGACGCCTCCAGCAGGGGGAGGAGGGGGCGGCGGGGAGCGTGTGAGGCCAGGGCCGGCGAGCCGATCTCCCCCACCCGGGTCGGAGAAGAGCGGGCGCGCCCAGGAGACAGGGTCCCGGGAAGGAGCGGGAGAGCGGCCGCAAGTCCCCCACCAGCCAGTGCCCACCAGCAGCTCGGCGGGCCAGCTCCTCACACCCGCCAGAGGGGAGCCGTGAGGGGGGCGGCGGAAGCGCTCACGCCGCCCGCTCCTTCCGCCGCCGCTGCCCGAACCGGGGGCGCCCACGGGAGAAGGAGGCGAAGTAGTCCCTGGCGACTTCTCCCGGCCGCCTGCCTCCCCCTGGGGCCGGAGCGGGCACGGGGTGCGGTTGCCGAGCGCAGTACCCGGGCTGTGAGGGCGTGTGGGTAGGGCTAAAAGCTGCGGCCTCCGGGCGAATCACTGCAACCCGAAGTCGTGTGCAGCATAGCAAGTTTCAGGAAAGTAGTTCCCTCCTCCCTTCATTTCCCAAATCGTTGTCGAGCCACAGAGCGGGGAAAGGAGGAGGGAGGCGGAGGGATACGCCAGGCACCGTGTACAGTGTGCGTGCGCGCGCTCCAAACTCTTGGCACGCTGCGAAAGGGGGCGGGGGTGGGACCTGCACTGGGAGCTGCTTGGGAGGTTGCATTGTTGCGCCGCGCTACTCCCCGTTACTCCCCGTTACTCGCTTTGGAATAACCGGGTTGTTAGAACAAGGAGGCTAGAATGACAGTGTGGTCAAGGGGGAAATTGGAGGCTGCTCGGTTTTGCCGTGTGTGTGTGTGTGTGTGTGTGTGTGTGTGTGTGTGTGTGTGTTTCTTGCAGAGCAAAGAATGGAACTGGCATGAGTTCATTTTTAGTTGGTGGGGGTTAGAGGGAGGGACCGTACAAAGAGAGCTCCGCCTGCTGTCCCTCTGGTTGCATTGCTGCAGTCCCCTAGCTGCATGTACAGCGGGAGTGTGTGTGTGTGTTTGTGTGTGTGTGTGTTAGAGTTAGTTTTAATACCTTGGATTCTTAATGTGCAAGGGGTATGCTGTGCAGGGTATTCATCTTCGAAAGCTAGAATGGTTGTTAATGGAGAACGACTTCCATTGAAGCCCAGAGTAGGCGTGTTACATGAATCTGGCGCAGCCAGAAGCACAGGAAAAAAAACTCCCGCTGCGAGTGAGGTTGCATAACTATAGCGCAGAAGATGCCTCTGTGGCACGAACTGCTCTAAACGGAGGCGGAACCATTATTGAATAGGCAGCTGTCACTTTTGCATTGTTAGAGGACAATGTATGCATTCATCTCGAAAGGTTTTTGCACAGAAACCTGCTGGTGTTTCAGCCGGGAGTCCAGGGTCTGCGGGACTAGAGAACTCAGGGCTCCTGGCTCTGCAAATTCTGTTATCCCTTTTCTACCTAGAAAGCCAGCCTGTACCCACCCGGCCTGGGGACTGAATCCTAAGATTCTGACGCATCTCCTTAGCTATCAGTCTAGCTTTGTGTGCAGTGCTTTTCTTTTCATTCTCAGGTTTTTGTGACCTGAGAGTGAAGGTTGCTGCTCCTACCACCTTGAGGGGTAGAACAATTCCTGATGATGAGGAAAGTGGGAAAAACTCCCAAACTAGCCAGCACTCCTCATCTGCCATCCGTCTCAGGAGGTTTCTGGATTGCTGCTTTCTAGAGCGCAGGCACTAGCCTGTTTTGCACAGAGTGGGTGCTTAATAAATGAGGAATAAAGGAGCCAAAGCACTCAGGCAGCCCCCCAAAAACAGCCCATTGATTTCTGAGGTTTCTTTATGTAAAGCTTGCCTGGGCAGCAGCATTGTCCTTACTCAGAGTGAGGAAGGGACAACGTTGGTGGCTGGAAGAGGTGAGGGGATCTGGGATAGTCAGAGGTTACCTCTGTTACCCCTGAACCTGTGTTTTTTTATCTTGTTCCTGGGAAGACCCTGTACCTGGGAGTGTTGGTACTGGCCTGCTCTCCTTCTTACTACTGCTACCCACTATGGCTTCTCAGATTTGAATCAAGTCCCATCAGTTATCATTTGTGTGTTCTAGACAAGTTATCCAAACGCTGCCTGTGGAAAATGGGGAGAATAGTACCTAATTCATAGAGCTACTGTGCTGATTCATGAGGTAATAATATACATGAAGCACTTAGAACAGATGAAGAGCTCAATAAATCCTAGTTCTTACTCTGATTTTGTAAAATGGAGATGATAGTACACTCCATGACAAGGTGGTGGCGGTGGCTCCAAAGGTTAAACTCAGCCTTGTTTGTTCATTCGATGAATAACTATGGGTTTCTTCTGTGTACCACTCTTGCTAGACACATGGCCTGGCCCTTAGCAAGCCATCCATAAATGATTGCTCTCAGAGTCATTATGATTAAGTAAGTACAAGGAAAGTTGGTCACTTGCAGAGGCCTGCTTTTCTTTTGAAGAAATATGCATCTGCTTAAGGTTCAACTGCATCAGGGAAAGGATCAATGACAGGCCTTGGGAGAAGATATGAAAACCATCTTGGCTCTCCTGTGCAAAGAACTGTGTGCTGGCCACTTTCAAACACGTTACTTACCTAAAGGGGCACTATATGATCAATAGCCCAAATTCATGCTTTTGAGATTGTTCCCACTCCTATAACCAAGACACAGTCACCAAACTGTTCCTTGTCTCCAGTGTTCCCCATACCACTTGCAGGACACTTTTGTGTCTTTCTTTTTAAGGGGGCATTTCCAGCCCTCACCTCTCACCTAGTGGTTGAAGATCTTACCAGCTTTTTAGAAAATTGTCTTGGTCTGGACAGAGAATTCTACAGTAAAACAATCAGAAATGGCCCTACACTCAGGTTCAAGGGCCAGGGGTCTTCCAATCTAACTCAACTGTCAGCAGCTACCCTAAGCTCAAGAGGCCTCATTGCGCTATCCCAGTGTCTGTACCTTTACCAGTACAAGAGACAGAGTGACCAAATGCAATGTGGGAGACCTTATTTGGATCCTGATTTGAACAAATATTTTTAAATTTGAGATCATCGGGGAAGCAAACACTAACTGGAGATTGATAATAATAAGGGGTTTTTTAAAGTATTAGTGTTGTGGTTGTGTTTTTTTTTTTTAAGTCATCATCTTTTAGAAATACATACTGGGTGCCTGGGTGGCTCAGTCGTTAAGCGTCTGCCTTCAGCTCAGGTCATGATCCCGGGGTCCTGGGATCGAGTCCCGCATCGGGCTCCCTCCTCCTTGGGAACCTGCTTCTCCCTCTGCTTCTCTCTTTCTCTCTCTCTCTCTCCCTCTGTCTCTCATGAATAAATAAATAAAATCTTTAAAAAAAAAAGTTTATTAAAAAAAAGAAATACATACTGAAATCTACAGATGAGATGATATATCTGAGATTTGTTTCAAAATAATTCAGTAGAGTGAGGAGTGGGAAGAAGTAGGTAGGGATAGAGATGAAACAAGATTGGCTACGGAATGATAATGAGCACATTCTCTTTATTTTTTCACACATTTGAAATTTTCTATAATAAAAACTTTTTTTTAATACACTGTAAGAACTGCCTTAATGCAGATTCCTTAGCCCCACTCCCAAGATTGGGATCAGCAGATCAGTAATGGAACTGACAAATCTGCTTTTCCAGAAGTATGCCAGGTACTTGTTCCTTCTTAGCCCTTCACAGTCTTCTCTCCTTTTCCCTGCAACTACTTGTCATCCCATCTCCGAACACACCCCTACCTAAGAACCGCAATTCCAGAAGCCCACAAAAAAGGGTGGCCCAACGTCTATCATAGGCTAAGGCAGGTCAAGGCCAAAGGGCTGGTTCAGCCAGGGAAGTTGGATCTAATAAGACCTGAAAAGCTGTGTGAAAAGATAAATACAGATGGAGATCACAGTTTTACCCAAAGTTCCAGCTCCATTCAGTTGGTATAGCTACCATTGAACACCAGTCAAAGATTCTATGGCCATGTCAGGGTGAACAGGGCAGGGGTGTGCTTATCTTTACTTGGTTGTGTTTTCTCAGGTGGGTCTGTGGGAAAGAGGCTGGTCACGCTAGCTGCTGCTCACAGGTGGCTCTCATTACTCTTGTCCTCAGTTTTAGGAATTAACCACGACCACTTACAAACTTGTTCTAGATGATTAATTATCAGAAGTATTTATGCACCAACAGCACAAATGCCAAGTAACTGCCAGTGTAGGACATCATCACAGTTAGGAAGGTACAAGTGGGTTCTGGGTTCTAGGTAGGTATCAGACCAAGGTTCACAAGGTCAGCAAAGGTGGCCTATCCTTATGGAGGCCCAGGTAGCACTCCGACTCAAGGTGTTCTCCCTCTTTCCAGACCGCTCCGTCCATAGTGATCATCTTTTTGATGAACTCAGACTTTATCTTCTCAAATTCCTTTCTTTTTGCCTTTACCATTTTACCCTTGTACTGATAATTCTCTCTACTCAACTTTTTCTGAGTTTATGTTTTCCCAGTTTAAGTGGCTTGAAGG